ATGCTTCTGCTGATATTGATAATTAGTCTGCTTCTTCCGCTCCTGCTGCTCTTGCTGGTGGTGATAATGAAAAAGAGAGAAGCGTCCAGCTCCTTTGCGGACTTTTGCATTCGCCTCGGTAAACCTGGAGATATGAAAACCCATCCACAGACTCCTGCCACGTTGAAGTAATTGAGATACTATCGTTTCATCAGTGATGAATGTTAGATGGGGTTCCCCTCCTCCCCCCACCGCCATCAAGAATGAAATACTAAAATAATGATGCCTCTCACTGAAAATATACGCGCGTTCACCCAACGCTTAATTTCAACCGGAACGGATTGGAAAGCTGTTCCGGGAATTATTTTGCCATTCACATTTTTGAAATATTACTGCGGTTACAAAAAAAATGCTCGTGACATTGCATGAATATAGGGTACAATAATATTGCCTTATTATTGATAGGGTCATATTCCCTCCTCCAAGCAGTGTTTTTCCAACACATACCGAGTGAGACATTAAGCCTTGTGTATTCCCACCCAGTAACCGGAAATTAATGAGAAAAATAGATAATCGGATAATACGTCTCCTTCATATATCCGTCTCGGGGGCAGTGACCGTTCGAATCCGGCAGGCTGCTCTGGTCAATACTGCGGTAGGTGTAGTAACCATGACGATCCGACGCACCGTCTTTCTTCATAGTGGATCCCCTTGACATAATTTGCAAGCGTCGGCCATTGTGTGCCGGCATGGGGGAGTGGGGGGAGGGGTCCGTAAATTACTCCATCGGGATTGTACACACAGAGTAGCAGCCACTGTCCCTCCCCGTAGACTCATGCCCCAGGTCTCTCTTGCAAATGAGACTCAGTTATAGAAAATAAATGAAACGAAACTCAACGTAAACATGATCTAAAAGTATTCTTTACACAAGCCAATCGGCCCCATGGTTATTTTGGGAGTGCGTAATTTAATCTGCAGTGATTCAGTGCAAGCGACACCTGGACCAATTTGCCTCCACCAAGGCAACGATGCTGAAGTTACAAAAAAAAACATTTGTGGATTTTATTTTTCATACGCAGCGACAGATTTATGAAGGGGAAGAATTGCCTGCTAACATATTGTTACTTTTTTGCACAATGACGCTCAGGATTTTTTTTGCATAATGAAGGATTCCGCATCAGTAAAAACCTTATGCACCCTAGCAAGCTTTCGAGTACGGATTGGAGCCATTATCACCTTCACGCCTTCGATTAGCATGGTTGGCTACGTACGGTGCAAAAGAAGTTCCACGTACGGTACCCACATGCAAGCCGCTATAGCAGCAGAAGCAGCAGCAGCTGTGGCAGTGTGTCCGTTGTCCGGGATGTGTGAGCCTTGCGAGTAGCAGCGGGTCACACGTGTCGGTGAAGCGACCTGCGGTTACAATTCGTGCCGGCTATTGTGCGTGTTCTCTTCAGTGTGTGTACACGTACAGCCCTTTTGTCACTCCGCTGCGGGATGAAGGGCATCTCCACGCCGCTTCAGGCCCTGGGGGGTGTTTGACCGTTCTTCAGCGTGTTGGTCGGCACGGGTTTGGCGAGGGCGGTTGGAGTAGACATGGGGGCATAGAAGTGTCGTGTACACTCGTGGATTCCGCTGCTCCGCAGTAACCTATAACACTCCCTTCATGCAAGCTGGCCGACCCCCGTATACCTCTAGAAATAAAATTGTATTCTTTCTAAATGTAGATGCACGGGGCATAACGAGTATTGGTCATTACGCGCGTTTACCCAGGAGTGCCTAACTGCGTAGTCTCAAGACTCTGTTTCTGCAGTAGGGCACGATGGTGCTGCTCTGCGTAATCCCACTTGAGTTATTTGTAGGTAATGTCAGCATTGGGATATGTCTGGCCAAACACCAGTCACGTCGTACATTTTTTTACAAATTATTTGGCGATTCTGCTGCGTTGGCAGTGGTGCACGAGCATAAAGCAATAAAAACGCAACACGTTTGTCAATAAAACTGTGGAAGAAAAAAAAACACGTAAGTGGTGACATTTCGGGCAATGGCTCTCTTAACGGCACACACACACAAACATAAATGTTTATTTCGTCGTTTCTTGTCAGCTTCCTTGCATTTACACGGGTAACGTGAAAGAGCCACTCCCGCGTCTCAATGGGCTCTCGCGGAGGTTTTAAAACAGATGAAAAGGCTTCCGGACGATGCGAGTAAGTCGCGTTGTCACCTCGGACGCGCGCGCGGAGCCGCTAATGGTGCGCCGGCGAGCGACTCGAGTGAAATATGTGGAACCATCTCCATTAGCACTGCGGGCTCCGGAAAGCAGCGAGATAGAGCGCAGCCCGCCCCGCTCCACGCGCACGCAGCCTCATCGCCGAACCGCACGGATCGCTCATTCATCTCCGCGACGCCTCGACGTGCACGGGAGCTGAGGCAATAATACGAATTTAGCACGTTTGGTATTCGCGCCATTCCTTATCGTGCAGGGCTATCACGAAGCAAGGCGCACGGACGGGTAGTCTGCCGGCAGTTGGCGATGTTGGCGCGTGGTGCGTTACCCAGTTTGTAAGTAAACTTTCAAATTTGCCCCGTGACGTCGGCACATGGCCTACTCCGTTTTCGAATGACGTCGTGGCATCCGTAACATCGACGGCGCGCGTTTCTGTTGTGAGATTCCTCTCCAGAAACAACACCGGTGCTGCTGCTGCTGCTGCTGCCGCTGAAACAGAAATAGATTTGGCCACGTTTGATGCACGTGACATTTTTATCAATTAGCCGTGTCGGGTGGAAGAGGGTTTACAAAAACACATTGTTACGAATCATAACAATGGTCGTGAAAGCCTCCGTATGAAATTAGACGCATAGATGCCGACAGATTTGTTGTAGCGGCTGTGGCTCGTCACGAGGCACCGCGGCCGCCCCTGGGCGACAGAGCGAGAGGGAGCCTGGAAGCGCTGCTTCTGACGGCAGGAGGGACGCGTCGCTATCCCCCGACTTATGAGTGCTCAGAAATAGTAATAATAATGAAAATGATTATCATGATAATTTAACTTGTATCCGCTCCCTCTCGACAACAGAGCGACTCGGAGATAAGAGAATAAACCACAGACAAGCACGCAGGATGGCAACAGCCAGGCAGTGAAACGGTGCAACATTCCCCCCGAAGCTCTGAGGTTCTCTATATGTTAAGATGGTATCGGACATTTAATGAGTTGTTATACACGTGGGAGGAACCCAGAGCACCTGGACAAAATCTACGCATGCAGGGGCAACACATTAATGCATACAGATGGAATACATGTGCCACATTCTCCTGGCAAGCCACGGTATAGCAGCTCCTCGACACCTACGGGGAGTATCACAACATTTGTGTGATGCACCAACTCTCGCCTCCACAGTGTTGGATCACAAGGCGTGCATAACCACCACCACCACCTGGCTAAAGTAAACATTTACATTCAAGCAGTGTCTTTGCTCAAACAAGCCTGGGGCGACGGTCGTCCTTAGCCCTCTACTAATTATTAAAATTACACATTCCCATGGCAGGAACGAGTTAAGCTATAGGACAGCCACTTTTGAGTTTCTGTAAGTTTTACCAATGAGTCGCTGTGCTCCACGCAACCCCCTGCCGGGATTTGACGTTTCAATTGTGGGTGAAGGAACTGAGAGATTTTACTTTCATAGTCTAAAAGTACGCATGTGAATTCGAGAAGACACTCTTCTAAAATAGCCGTTTAACTTGGAGAATTCTCAGCATCCAATTACTTACTGCTTTGCTCATTACATTGAATGTGAAGTGGAGGCTGGGGAACTTGGCTCCTTGCAACCGCGGTAATGGCTTATCCAGACTACTGCACGGCAAACCACCACCACCACACACACTCAGATGCATGCCCACTTACTTACAAAGACAAAGATCCTCCGCGTAGCCTTTAAGAGACTGTTGGGGCAAGTGCTGAAAACGAGCACCTATGAAGGCCCAGGACAGCACACGAGGGGTTGGCGTGGCGAGCAATACGCCCGGCCGCCTTTGTCTCCCCAATGCTTATTTTACACACTGCAACAGGCACTCAATGAAGGCTGAGTCGACCTGTGGGAGGGCCAGGACCGGTTCAGATAATCGTGTCTCCTTATACAAACACACGTACGATGATATAAATGAAGACCAAGTGACGAATTGGAAGACAATAACCACTCTCATTTGCGGTCAGAAAATGCGGTTGTGTTTTCGTCACTTATAGACTGGAGCTGTTCAGCAGTGCCCCACGCGTGAGCCTTAGATTTTAACACTTTCAACTTGGAAGTATGATACGCTGAATTCCATACACTTTAAAGAGGAAACTTTCAACCAAAAATAACTCCTTCAACGGGGAAACTGTACAAGCCCCGTGCGCATTATAATCCGGTACACAATCAAATTCCCAACTTTTTTTCAATGAAGCGACCAAAGCGTGGCAGGAAGGGCGGGGGAGAGATCGTTTCAAACTCCTTTTGATCTCCGCCTCGCACTCTCCGTGCCACCGCAGCGACACCGCCAGAAGCTGCCTACCGGGAGACAGCCGCTTTCCGTCACCGAATGGCTCTCAATCACCGCCGCCCGCAACTGCTTTGTCCACATCTGTAGCGAGCAGTTGCGCAACTTGGACGTTTGAGACAAGGCGTGCTCAGGACAAATAGTGATAACAAAGGCTTCGTTCGCAAATGTGCGGTGCGTGACGATGAAAATCCATCGCCGCAACTCGAAAGCCCGGTCTGTGTCGACTGTGTACTAACCCTCAGTTGTGCAACTGCTCGCAACGGCTCGCAGAGAAGACGTTCACACGTAAAGTGAATTTAGTCGTGTGCAACCGAGTTGCGGGCAACTTATCGCTCAGTTGTGGCCCCGGCTCTATACACAACCAGATCAGGCCGAATGCGCCCAACTCGGCGGGTCTCACGCACTAAGCAGGGCTGGTCCTGCTTAGTGCGTCGGGACGATGGGGGGGGGTGACTGCCCAGGAATGGCGTTTCCACAAGTCGCGTACCGTTGCTTCTGATCATCACCTCCTTCTGGCACACGTCCTGCACGTTCACGGTGCAGTTGGCGATGTTCTTGGGCGCCGAGCATTCGCTGAGATGAAACTCCTCGCACTGGTAGCACTGAATCTGCAAGCTCCTCCCTGTGGTGGTGGCAGGGAGGAGGAAGAGGAGGACGCAGTTACAGGGGCACAAGCCTCGAATATCAACGGGAATCACCAAACGTTCTGAGCACTTCAACACGTAGGCTTTCGCGACCAATATTATCCGTAAGAGAGTTTTGGTTTTTGTTGTTGTTTTTGGGTTAGATGGCGTCAGGATGACATCGCCACGTTTTTGTTGTGCAGCGCGTTTCGCCCCCAGTGTTAATTACTCTGCCTGGAATGTGCATGTCGATCATCGGGCCCCGACTGTGAACGCTTGACAGGGACCCCCTTGAAGGAGAGAGTCATGAAAAGACTCGGTGAAGCTTTCCTGGCTAAACAAAGCGTAATAGTAAACACGGCCGTCTTGCGATGACCACAGCTCAAGAGACATGAAGAAAAACACGCGGCGTGTTTAAAGGACGACGGGCGACTGTATCAGGGTTTCATCAATATTAGGACTCATCAGCAAAGTATATGCACAGTACTGTATATGCAAATTACCAAATCATCCGCAGTGTGCCCAGTTTCATCAAAACTCACGAGCCAAGCCGAGTTACGTTGAGTTGTTCGATTAATGAAAGCTGCGTGATAATTCGACGTGTTACAGGCATGGGAATGGCCAGGAGATGACAGCATAGCAGTGAATTCTCGGATCCATCCGTGCAGAGCCTTGAGCGTTACCCCCTCGTAGGCGTGATGATGTTCTCCAGCTCCCTCCAAAATGAAGCTAAGCGCTCAACTCAACTGGCCATACATCTCAATGCAGGTACCTCCTGAAAAATGATCTTGAAACGACGGCTGTGCGAGATACACCATTGGCATTACCTATTAGTATATTATCCCGCACCTCCGATTATCACGGTTGGCTACGTACGGCGCGAAAGAAGTTCAACATACATACATTGGATGCTGTACTGGTCAGAACACAGGAGTGCAATCCAGAGGTCAAGATTCGATCTCGCGGTGTGGCAGTTGAGACAACGGAGCAGGTTTCTTAAATCCCCTTGCCTATGCCCAGCCAGCAGAATAAATAGATCTATCACAGTCGATCGGCTGGTCGCGTGTGGTGGGGTAAAGTGTGGGTACTGCAACCTTCTCCAAGGCATCCGATCAGCTTGGAAAAGTAGGCCAAAATGCCCCCGTTTGGGGGGAAGGGGTGGTCTCGAAACCTCTCTCCGTTGGAGAGCCTCCCGTCAGCAGTGAGGTGAGTGAACAACTGCATGGAGCTGCGCCTTTCCCTTGACGTATCGTCACCGTTGTTTTTATTAAAGGGGCTGTGGTACAATTCGCAATCTTGAAGCTGGTTTTATGGCGCTGCAAATCCTCAAGTTTCGAATTAGCCACGACTCAAACACACACACACACAACAAAAAATACCATCGCACCTTTTGAGAGTGATTTCACGAGATAAATGGATTTCAAAGGGGGCCATTCGCCCCGACTTAAAAGGCGATGTAATTGACTCAAACTGACAATCCGGGGCCCGGTTTTCATTTAGGGCGAAGCAAAAAGAACCTCTCTCTCGCTATCGCAGCGAAACCACCTGGCAACACACCTCGCCCGGAGCGTCGTGTGCGCTGAGTGTGGGGGCTCTGCTGGCGTGCTGCCCGCCTGCCTGCTGGAGATTACAATCGGGCTATGCAGACCGAGGTGTGAGGGTGGGGGGTTCTAGTGGCCGCTTCTGAGCGACAAGAGAGAGCGCGCACTGGGTGAGGATCGTGACAGCATCGCGGAGAGTAGGTGGGCACCACCCGCACAACACACCACGCGCATTCATTACCTGCACGGACACAGACACTTACACTCGCACACTTTCAGACGTACGAAAAGACGGAGATACGCGCACATCCAACAAAAATAAGATAGCCTGAAACTGACTGTTAGGACAAGAGCTGTTAGCGAGTAGCATCTGTGAAGGCCGGAAACGGCACACGAGGGGGTGGGTGGCCAAAACCACGCCTGGCCGCCTTTGTCTCCCGAGTGGCGATGCTTACACATCGCATCGAGTACTCGTTTGAGGCTGAGTCGACCTAGGGGAGGCCCAGGACTGCTTAAAATATTCGCCACTGTTAATGGCTATGGGTGAAAATCAAACCCGTCTGGCCCGGTAGCACAGCACGCTAACCACCGCGCCACCGCTCCCATACACTCACATACAAAAAGAGACAAAGATCCCCCGTATAGGCTTAACAGACTGTTGGGGCATTTGCTGTTAGCACACATACATACACTCGTATTCATACACCCTCTCATACCTACATACATACAGATACACATCAATACAGTCACATTTACATAAACACACAAATTGACATACAAATACACCTACGTTTTGAAAAGCTACCTTTCAGGTTAACATACATACCCAGTACTGTACACATACACATCCATTCACAAATGTTTACGTACACACAAATATGTACAAATTCATACATGCATATAAACGCACCTCTACACACATTCACACAAAAACACACAAGCATACGCACACACACAAATACACACAGACACACACAGGCATACGCACACACACAAAATACACACACAAGCATACGCACACACACAAAATACACACAAACACACACAAGCATACGCACACACATACAAAAACACACTTGTCAGGATCCCCTCGTAGCCTTTGGCAGATTTTAGGGCAAGTGCTGTGAGCCAGCTCCTATTAAATCCGCCACGGCGCACGAGAGAGTTGTGTGTGCTATCTCTGCAACGTCGACTGTTACATTCCACACCGATTACACCTCGCCAGTTGTGATTCGTTTAGGCCGAGTCTACCTAGGGAGGCGTGGGTGATGACTGATTGTGAGCGTCACTCTTCCACTTCCCCTTGTTCGTGAAGAGCGGCTGGCCTCCCAACTGCTCAGTCGCGTCTTTCACCGAAGCCTCATCCACGGAGGCCGATGCTGCCACCGCTGGCACTTGTCATTGGCAACTCCACTCAGCACCACATCATCCCGCACCCTATCAGCCCACCTCGTCTCTAGCCCGTGCCGAGCCCTTTTAGCAGCTCGCGGTGGCTGGACATGCGGGCTACATGGCCCAGCCAACGTAGCCTCGTTTTCCGAAACTCCAGCCAGGAATTATCGGCCGTAATCGTGCGCCCCATCTCGTCATGCTGGCGGCACGTGGGACCCCGTTAACAGAGCCACACCTCGGCCGGTCTTGAACACATTCAGGGTGGGCCCTATTTTCGATCCGTGGCGGGTTTAAATCAGCCTATATTTGGGTGGCGAGGAGCTCACAGATCCACGAAAAATCTGCAACAAACACACGCAGAAATTCATATTCTTAGCTCTTTCGGTAAAGTCACGTTGACTTTACCGAAAGAGCTAAGAATATTAATTACTGCAGTCACGAAAGCTTTAAATCAAAATTTAAACACACGCAGGTCAAAGCGGACATTGCCCCCATCGCACCACGCCGGGATCCCTGATGCACAATCATTGACCCTGCAGCACGCTGCTGAACAATTCAGGGGGTGTGGCAATTGCATCGATTTATCAGCACAGTATCGATTATTCCAGCTGACAATAACACGGGCATGGGGAATCGCGTGCGGAATTATTGGTACACGTCGGCAGGAACGGCTCCGCGTGACGCTCTGCAGCCACTAGAGGCCGCTGCACGCACCACGCCGTTGAAGCGAGAGGGAAAAAAACAACCACAGTAGTGAATCCGCGCATGCAGCGGCTAATGCGAATCCCGACGGCGCACTGAATCGCGTTGGGGAGGGCGTCAGGACCTTGGCGGCACTCGTACCGAGAGATCTTTCAGGAGGCAGGTCTCGGGGCAGTGTCTCGCCACTTAGCACGCGGCAGGCTTTTGTCATCAAGAAGCGTTAATGGGACACGCAGAGTGCACCGTGTGTGTGTGTTCAAGAGAGCGCTGTTTGTATGTGCGTGTGTGCACTGAGCAAGGGACACTGCACCATCTTGTTGGTGCTCGAGTTTGCCTGGCAGTTTTGCCTTACAACTGGCACAGGAAAGCGAAGGACCGGGAGGCTCGGACATCTCTGCCGTTGGGAGCACTGTGGCAGCGCAGTGGAAAGCCACTCGTGCCTCAAAGCAAGAGGGCGCCTGGGTTTGATTCCAGACTCGGGCGCCTTTCTGTGCAGAGTCTGTGTGTTCTCCCCCTGTCCTGCGTGGTTTCCCTCCGGGTACCCCGGTTGCCTCCGGTAGGTTAAAACAAAAATCAAACACCCCAATGCTGAAATGCACCCGCAAATTACTCCATTGAAGTTGAACACGTAGCGAGAGCGCACCCCATTCTGAGTAAATGGCAGGACCCTCCTGAAAACAAAAACAAGTCTTGAGACTCGGTGAGACTTTCCTGGGTAACCCAAAGCACAACAGCATGTAACGTGCCTATTATACCGGGAGTTGCGGTGGGTCAGGAGGAGGGCGTGACGTCATCACGCACGAACCGGGCTCAATGCGGGTGACGTCATCCCGCAGATGTTACGTCACCGCCGCACATTTGCCCGCCCGCGTGCCAGCCAGCAAAACTTATATTTCCAATATAGCATGATATACAGTGCATGGTTGTAACTCTTTGTCAGTCCACTGCCGGATGAGGGCCTCCTCACGACGTGCTGCTGATCGTCGGAAGAATAATGACCTTCACCACGCGGGTGACTGCGTGTTGGCGAAGGCCGGGATCATAGATGTGGAATCACAGAAGTACAATACAATAATTGATGTTGCTCCACTGCCACGACGTGACTCGATACAGAAGGACAAATAGATTCATTGGAGAGGTCACGCAGACGTCAGCGACCAATGGGGAAGACCCACAACCAAATGGTGGGAGACGTAAGCGCCCAGACCTTCGAGATCGGATGTCGACTTGGCAACAACTGCGGGAGACAGCGCAAGGAAGGCAAGGAAGCGACGGTGCGAGGCGCGGGTGGCATCAGCGCCATTGGCCACGATGCCCTCTTGACCGGAACAAATTCGCACACGCCGAGCACCCCGCTGTGCACG